TTTTTTATTTTTTAGATTGAACATATGAGCAATCTCATATGGTATTTTTCTTTCTCTTTCTGGCTTACTTCACTTAGAATGACATTCTCCAGGAACATCCATGTTGCTGTAAATGGTGTTATGTTGTCAGTTTTTATGACTGAATAGTATTCCATTGTATAAATATACCATCTCTTCTTTATCCAGTCATCTCTTGATGGACATTTAGGTTGTTTCCATGTCTTGGCTATTGTAAATAGGCAGCTATGAACATTGGCTTGCAGGTGTCATTTTGAAGTAGGGATCCTTCTGGATATATGCCCAGGAGAGGGATTTCTGGGTCATATGGCAAGTCTATTCCTAGTCTTCTGAGGAATCTCCATACTGTTTTCCACAGTGGCTGCACCAAACTGCATTCCCACCAGCAGTGTAGGAGGGTTCCCTTTTCTCCACAACCTTCCAGCATTTGTCATTGGTGGACATTTGAATGATGGCCATTCTGATTGGTGTGAAGTGATACCTTATTGTGTTTTAGATTTGCATTTCTCTGATAATTAGTGATATTGAGCGTTTATAAATGTGCCTGATGATCATTAGCATCCATTTCTTAATGTAGAATTTCCCTATGACTGACATGTATAAGAGCATTATGGTAAATGCACCCCTTTAGGACCTACACCTTTGATTACCAAAAGCATAATTCAAGTTTTTGTTCCAGGATCCCGAGTACCTGCAGTTATATTACTCACACCAGGCAGCTGGGGTATTATAATATTATAATATTAAATTCCTTAGAAAATTCGATGGCATATCCTGTAATTATACTATCTCTATAAGCAATAATTATAACGAGCTCCATCTGTCCATGCCAAACAGACTTAAACAGACCACATGGTCCTCCATCAGCCACGCAGCGCTCGGAACTGCAGGCACTCTCACCCAGACAGCACGAGGCTGTAGCGGTGCTCGAGCCCTACCAGTCCCCCACGTCTGGGCTATGGTGTGAACCATGGACCAGGCGCCCCAGGCATGGGGTTCAGCACTGGGATGATGTGCCCTCTTGGCCGGGTTGAAAACCAGTGGATTTACTGTAGCACTGTAAGAAACTGAGACCCTGCTCTTGAAGAGCCTGTGCAGAGGCTTGCTGATGCCCCATCACAGCAGGGAAACAGCAGGCTGAACACTGCCTGGGGCTCTGGCAGCTTCCAAGGATGCCTCAAGTGGGGCCCCCCAGACTATACAGGCTCCTGCTCCAGCCTTCCATGTTCTGGTGCTGCTCCCCACTCAGGTGGTAGCTTCCATTGCCAATAAGAGTGCACACAGTGTGAGAAAATGGTGCTGGCCTGGATGTGGCCCTACCTCTGAAAAGACTGTAGGCAGTCACTGCTAGCTAGTGTCCCGGCACACACTCTGGAAGGAGCAATACAAGCACCAGGGCAGAGGCTGCCATCATGAGAACTCACTTTCTCATGCACAACTGAGAGGGGTTGAGGCCAGCTCAGTGGTGTGGCCCCAATGTCTCTGGCCCTGACCCACACTCTAGCCAAGGTGTACACATTGGGGAAAAGGTAAAACCAGTACAGAAGGGCCACTGCAGGCCCTCAGGCCTCAGCCACATTCCAAACCAAAGCAGAGACTGCCCTCACACCCAGGAGAACCCAACTCCCACAGAGCTCCTGCTCCAGCCCAACAGGGCCCTGTGCCAACCCCTGATAGGGCTGTTAACAGTCATGGAGCAGAGGAGAAGCCCCTGCTTGAACCTGGAACTGGCTCCAATCCCTCTAACTCCAGCTGTACCACCCCCATTACTCTGGCTGCCAGCACATCCTGGGGGAAGATGGCAGCCAACGATCAGTTAAGATGCAATTCTTCCCACAGATCCGCTGGGCACAGAAGACTGCATAGGATGCTCTCACACAAGGACACACCTTTAATTCTGGGACAGGTAACTGTTTCACCTAACTTCACAGAAATATAGAAAGTTAAAGTGAGAAGACAGGAATATGTTTTAAGTGAAATAATAAGAAAATAACCATAATGAAAAGAGATAAATAATTTATTTGACAGAGAGGTCAAAGCAATAGTAATAAGAATGATAACTGCACTGGGAAAAAGAACAGATGAACACAGGGAGAATTTTTAAAAAGAACTAGAAAATATACAAAAAGAACCAGTCAGAGCAGAAGTGTAGGTGACATGGAAAATTAGGCAATACAGATGCTACATTAGCAATCTGGATGATAGAATAATGAAAAACACCCAATTAGAAGAGCAAGAAGAAAAAATACATTAAATGAGTTTAAGGGACTTCTGAGACAGCATCAAACATATTAACATTCATATTATAGGGGTCCCTGAAAGAGAA